TAAGTCGGGTGCAAAAACATATGATCGCACCGGCAAGCTTGGTGCGTTCCAGCCTGGATTAATCCTACATCATGCATCGATTGACTTTCGTCGCAATTTACATTAACTTAGGGCTGTAACATTGCAGGCTACAGTTTTTTCAACAAAAATGTCTCCCCTTAAGGTCGCAGATCGAGTAGAGCTTATAGTGTAAAAATAATTTCAGGCTATTAGATTTAAATCCTAAAATTTTTAGTTCTCAATTTGTCCATAGCAGAGATGCGAAGTTAGTTTGGTCATGTTGAAACGCGAATAAAATTGCAAAAAAAAAAGAAAATTTCTCGGTTTTCAGATTCTGGGACTTATTTGTGTTTCGATTCAGAATTCAGGATCTTTTTTTGGCTCTTAAAAATCTTTTCGTTTCTTAAATCGTCCATACTTAAATCTAAGCAAACATAATTTTATTGAAATGCATCAGTTATAAATGACTGTTGCAGACCTCCGCCACCTCTACCACAAGCTGTAAGCCTCCAGATTTATCCACGTGTGGCCGAATTCATTCCGTTCTTTGGTGGTGCAACAAAGCATGTGCTCACCAACGACGGATTCAAACGTCTGGTCATCAAAATCAAATGCAGCAATAACTCCTTGTACAAAGTTTGGCCGGTATACTCATTTCTAGATCCGGGTACTTCGCAAGATCTCGAGGTAGCGCATTATTTTTTTCCAAAGTTTTTCCGTCTGGAAGGTATATAAAAAATCCATGACTTGAAACGAAGCAAAATATAGCCGAATATTTATATTATCAGCTTGACAAGGTTGTGGAGGGGCATCAAAGCTGGCTAAAGAGGCCTCACTCTTCGCTAGAAAATAAATTTTGATCCAGGTGTACCACGTTTGCATTAAAAGGAACTGAGGTTAAAATTTGGGCTGAGATAAAATCTAACACAAAACGTAGTGAGATAAAATCTGTTCAAATTTAGGCACAGTTGGCACTATGTCAAATTCAGAACCTGGATGAGTAATACTTTTATCCAAATTTAAGTAAT